ATACATCCAAAGGAATTGAAATCAATACGTTGAAGGGATATCTACATGCCCATGCTCATTGCAGTATTATTCACAAAAGCCAAGATATGGAATCAAACTAAGCATCTGTCAGTGGATAAATGAATAAAGAAAATGTGATATATCTGGAACACTATTCAGCCATTAAAAAGGAAATTCTGCCATTTGCAACAGCATGGATGGAACTGGAGGACACTATGCTAAGTGAAATAAGCCAGGCACAGAAAGACAAATACTGCACGATTTCACTTACATGTGGAATCTAACAAACATTGAACTCATCGAAGTTGAGAGTAGAGGTGGTTACCACAGGCTAGGGAGGGGAGTGAGGAATGAGGAGTTTTTGGTCAAAGGGTATAAAGTTTCAGTGAGGAGATCTGACACCTATTGCATGGCAGAGTGACTATCGTAAATAAAAGGTATCGTGTATTTCAAAATAGCTGAGCAAATTTCAAATGCCTCACCACAAAAAATAAGTGAGGTGAGAAATATGTTAGCTTGATTTAATCATTCCACATTGTGTGTGTGTGTGTGTGCGTGCGTGTATATAGATACATAATCTCTCAAAACATGACATTGTACCCCATTAATGTATAAAATTTTGATTTATCAATTAAAATATTAATAAATTAAAAAGCTAATGTATTGATGGATTAATATCATTAAAGATAATATTGAAGAGAAAAAGCATCTATAGAAGAATATGTTCAGTATGATACCAGATATAGAGAATATGCAAAACAGAGAATGCAAACATTTGTGGAAAAGAATGCATGGGAATAATATACACCGAATTCGGGTAATGGTTACATCAGGAAATGGAAGGGAGTGAGATCATTAAAGATACACAGGGGGCTTTTATGTACAGTATTATATTATTATTTTATTTTAGGCAGAGTTTCCCTCTGTTGCTTAGGCTGGAGTGCAGCGGCACTATCTCAGCTTGCTGCAGCCTCAACCTCCCCGGCTCAAGTGATCCTCCCACCTCAGCCCCTTGAGTAGCTAGGACCACAGGTATGTACCACCACGCTCAGCTAACTTTTTAATTTTTTTGTAGAGATGGGGTTTCACCATGTTGCCCAGGCTGGTCTCCAACTCTTGAGCTCAAGCAATCCTCCTGCCTCGGCCTCCCGAAGTGCTGGGACTACAGGCGTGAGCCACTGCTCCTGGCCTGTGTTTTATTTCTTTACCTAGGTGGCAAATAGCATGACTACTTATTCCGTTCAGACTTCTGTGCCTAAAGTATTTCATCATTTTAAAAAACACTCTTTCTAGAAACCAATGATTTGAGGAGGGTTGAAGGAGTTAGATATTGTTAGCATATGATTGCCATTTTCAAATATTTGAAGGAACACGTATAAGAAAAAAAGGTATTTTGCTTTGCTAATGCATATGTACAAGCATTTGTTAACTGTAAGCCACACACATATTGCTATCACTGCTTCAGAGGACAGAATGAGGACAAATGGGAAGACTCTACAAGGAGGAAGGTAGATTTGGGCTCAGTATAGAGACATGCTTAACAATCAGAGGCAGCACAGCGTCAGAGATGAGAGCAAGACGGTTTGGAGCCAGCCTGCCTGGGTTCCGGTCTTGGCTCTGCTCTTTGTAGGCAGAATGATTTGGGGCAAATCATTTAACCTCTCTGTGCCTGTTTCCCATTCTGTAAAATGGGAATAACACAGAGTGCTTACCTCAAAGGCTAGAATAAGGATTAAATGCTTATTTGTAAAGTGCCTAGAACAGTGCCTGATACATAACAAATGCTATGTAAGTGTTCATAAAATAAATCTAACAAAGAATCTAGCAAATAAAGAGCTTGTCTCGCAAAGCAGTAAACTATTCAAGGGCTCATGCAAAGGCTGGATAAATCTCTTTTAAGGATGGCGCAGGGGAATCCTTCCCTTCTAGTCTAGAGATGTATGCTTCTTAAACTTCATTATGCACAGAAACCACACAGGGATATTAAAATGCAGATTCTAATTCAGTGAGCCTGAGATAGGGCCTGAGATTCTTTTTTTCTCTTTTTTCTGAGATGGAGTCTCTCTCTGTCGTCCAGGCTGGAGTACAGTGGTGCAATCTCAGCTCACTGCAACCTCCGCCTCCCGGGTTCAAGTGATTCTCCTGCCTCAGCCTCCCGAGTAGCTGGGAATACAGGCAGATGCCACCACACCCGGCTAATTTTTTTTTTTTTTTTTGTATTTTTAGTAGAGATGGGGTTTCACCATGTTGGCCAGGCTGGTCTCAATCTCCTGACCTCGTGATCCGCCCACCTCAGCCTCCCAAAGTGCTGGGATTACAGGTGTGAGCCACCACGCCTGGCCTGAGATTTTTTATTTCTAACAAGTGGTGCCAATGCTATGGTTCTCCTGAGGGCTACACTTTAAGTAGCAAAGCTCTAGATGGTTTTAGTCCTACTGTCATACATCACAATTTCAAAGATGCTTAGTTTTTTATTTTATTTTATTTTATTTATTTATTTTTTTTGAGACCAAGTCTCACTCGCTCAAGCTAGAGTGCAGTGGCCCAATCTCGCTCACTGCAACCTCTGCCTCCCAAGTTCAAGCAATTCTCCTGCCTCAGCCTCCCGAGTAGCTGGGATTATAGGCACCCGCCACCACACCCAGCTAATTTTTTTCCATTTTTAGTAGAGATGGGGTTTCACCATGTTTGCAAGACTGGTCTCAAACTCCTGACCTCAGGTGATCTGCCCACCTCAGCCTCCCAAAGTGCTGGGATTATAGATGTGAGCCACCATGCCCAGCCTCACAGATGCTTAGTTTTTATCTCTGATGAATCAATTTGCAGCAAATTCTAAATATAGTTCTCTTTCAAAACCAACTTTTGGCCGCTTAATCAACCAATAATAGTTTGACTACTAAAATAACTAAGTTTTTATTGTTGTTGTTTTGTTTTTTGTTTTTTAAGAGATGGGGTTTTTCCATGTTGCCAGGACTGCTGGCTTGAATTCCGGGACTCAAGCGATCCTCCTACCTCAGCCTCCCAAAGTGCAGGGATTACAGGCATGAGCCACTGTGCCTGGCCTAGGACTAAGAATTTATAGGAGGTTTGGGGTGATGTTTTATATAAACATATATATTTCCATAATGCACATACTTTTTTTTTAAGAGATGGAGTCTTGCCCTGTCACCCAGGCTGGAGTGCAGAGGAGCAATCATAGCTCACCATAGACTCTAACTCCTGTCCCCAAACAATCCTTCCACCTCAGCCACCATAATTGCTGGAATTATTAATACAAGAGGCAGCCAGTGAGCCCAGCAATAATTACAATTTTTATATTAAATTCAGACTTTTGTCATTTGGATTTTCTTAAAGCAGAAACATCTATATGAGAAATAAAAATAGTAAAGTATAAAAGAGGCAGTTCCTGCACTGTTTGGGAATCTACATCAGAGTCTGCATTTGATATAATAGAGAAGAGAATGCCACTCTAGATTCCCAAGCAAGGAAGTGAGAGAAGAAAAACCATGTTTGGGAGCAGGATAAATTGGAAAGGAGAATATCGAGGCTCGAAGTGAACACACAAAATACTGAGCTGATAATTTTGTTCAAGTGTGGAGGTACGGTTCCGAGAGCTGCTAATGAGGAAGACCAGTGGGATTCACATTTTCGAAGACACTAATTCAACAATAAGCTGAAAAGGCAAATGAGACTTCGGTGGACTCTCGTGAATCATACTGGGCTCCAGCGGGCGTCTCAACCATTTGATGTAGACACAACTGGGCCTCCAGGTACAATTTGAAATATGAGTATGTTCTGAGACAGATCTTTAACACCGTGATCCAGAACAGAAACCCAGAGAGGCTTGCTACTTGGGGATGGTTGATGTGAATTCCGGTGATTTGGTCTAAATTATACTCCATGCTTTCTTTCCTTCAGGAAATCTTCATTGATCATAGTTGACTTAGAACCATGGGGACCCCAGAGTTTTTCTAGGCCTGGCTGTATACAGGCATTGAATCTTGTGGCTAGTATGTACCTACTGTTTTGCGGCTTTGGCCACAAAGTGGTTCATGGTTATTCAACATAAAGCTATCAAAGGCTGGGCCTGGTGGCTGATGCTTGTAATCCCAGCACTTTAAGGGGCCAGGGTGGGAGGGTCCCTTGAGCCCAGGAGGTCAAGACCAGCATGGGCAGCATAGTGAGACCTCATCTCTACTTTAAAAGAAAAAAAAAATGCCTGTATTTTCATGCGTGTAGTCTCGGCTGCTTGTAAATGCACATGCCTGTAGTCTCAGCTACTCGGGGAGGATCACTGAGTTGGAGGCTGCAGTGAGCTGTGATTGCGCCACCGACAGCACTCCAGCCTGGGCAACAGAGCAAGGCCCTGTCTCAAAAGCAATGTTAAACTACTGGAACCAACTTCTCCTGCTGCCTCTAGGAGCACAATTTGCAAGTATCCTTAGATCTAAAATAGCCACTGAGTGGAGAGAAAATAAAGAGGCAGTGAACAGTATATTTTATTTCTTTGTTCCTCTACTTGTCTAGGTCAAAGTGGAGAGTTTCCTGGTCTATATATTTTTAAAGTAGGGCATAAAAGAAGTCAGGGAGAGACAGGAGAAATAGGGATTCGAGCAGATAATTCTAGAGTTTTCTTTACAATTGGGTTACTTTTTTTTTTTTTTTTTTTTTTTTTGAGACGGAGTTTCGCTCTGTTGCCTAGGCTGGAGTGCAGTGGAGCGATCTCGGCTCACTGCAAGCTCTGCCTCCCGGGTTCACACCATTCTTCTACCTCAGCCTCCCAAGTAGCTGGGACTACTGGTGCCCGCCACCACGCCCAGCTAATTTTTTTTTTTTTGTATTTTTAGTAGAGATGAGGTCTCACTGTGTTAGCCAGGATGGTCTAGATCTCCCGACCTCGTGATCCGCCTGCTTCAGCCTCCGAAAATGCTGGGATTATAGGCGTGAGCCACCGCGCCCGGCCAAAATTGGGTTACTTTTACCAGTTTGTTTTTACTCACCACCACTGCACAGAGATTGTATTTAGGATATTTCCGGAAAATTGGGCAAATATAAGGAGTGAGGTCCAAATTAGTGAGTGGGTAATGAATATCCGTTCTCAGCTTCCTTTTCGTTGTACCCTGAATGTCAAACCTGCAGGGATAATGTGTAAAATACAAAGTAAGCTTGTGAACCACTCATTTGTCTACATGACAAATTCCAAGTATCTTAAAAGTAATTTCTTGGCTGGGCACAGTGGCTCATGCCTGTAGTCCCACAATGTTGGGAGGCCAAGGCGGGCATATCCCTTGAGCCTAGGAGTTTGAGATCAGCCTGAGTAACAAGGCAAAACCCTGTCTCTACATAGAATTCTCACCTGTAGTCCCAGCTACTCAGGAGGCTAAGGTAGGAGGATCACCTGAGCATAGGGAGGCTGAGGGAGTCATGATCGAGCCACTACACTCCAGCCTGGGTGACGGAGTGAGACCCTATCTCTAAAAAAAAAGTAATCTCTGGCCTGGTGTGGTGGCTCACGCCTGTAATCTTAGCACTTTGGGAGGCTGAAGTGGGTGGATCACTTGAGGTCAGGAGTTAGAACCAGTCTGGCCAACATGGTGAAACCTCGTCTCTACTGAAAATGCGAAAAAATTAGCCGGGCATGATGGTGGATGCCTGTAATCCCAGGTACTCAGGAGGCTGAGGTCGGAGAATCACTTGAACCTGGGAGGTGGAGGTTACAGTGAGCTGAGATCACACCACTGCACTCCAGCCTGGGCGACAGAGCGAGACTCCATCTCAAAAAAAAAAAAAAGTAATTTCTTGGAAAGATTATTTGGTACAGACTTATAAATTACTTTTCTCTTATCTATTTAAATACCACATCCACAAACCTCACCAAAATGAGACTGGAAGTTGAATCAGGGAGTGAGATAGTAAAGATTCAAGCTAAACTTGAATCTAGTAGGGCAAAAAGAAAGGGATAACCAAGGCTCTCAGCATTGGGGGAAGTGGAAACCACATTGATAATTCCTGAGGCTTTTGCTCCAACTGAACCTGTTTATTCTAACCAAGCTGGCTCAGCTTTTCCTTATCTTGATTTCGGCACAGGTAGTCTTGGCAATGTTGTTTTCAAGCTCTGAGGTTTTTTTTTTTAACGTTTTTTTTTTTTTTTTTTTTTTTTTTTTTGAGACGGAGTCTCACGCTGTCGCCCAGGCTGGAGTGCAGTGGCGCAATCTCGGCTCACTGCAAGCTCCGCCTCCCGGGTTCCCGCCATTCTCCTGCCTCAGCCTCCTGAGTAGCTGGGACTACAGGCGCCCGCCACCGCACCCGGCTAATTTTTTGTATTTTTAGTAGAGACGGGGTTTCACTGTGGTCTCGGTCTCCTGACCTTGTGATCCGCCCGCCTCGGCCTCCCAAAGTGCTGGGATTACAGGCTTGAGCCACCGCGCCCGGCCTTAACGTTTTAATATAATGTTTTAATAAGAACATTTTGTGAAAATCTTTCACATTCTGTATTGTTACATAGATCCTAAGTTTGTAAATCTAGGCTCACATCAGTTACTCAGAAGCTTTAAAAAAAAAAATTATGTTCATTTTGGAAAAATGGCTGATGTAGGTCTGAGGCTGAGAAATTACTGAGATCGAGACATTCTTGTGCCAGAAAGCAAAATACCCTGTTTTCAAAAAACTAAGGGAATGCCATGTGATCCAGCAATTCTATACCTGGGTATCACCCCAAGAGAAATGAAGACTTAGGCCCACATAACAAGCTATCTGCTAGTGTTTGTAGAAGCTGTATTCCTAACTACTCAAAACTGTAAACAACCCAAATGTCCATCAACTGGTGGAGACGTGCAACTGTGGTACACTCACAAAAAGGAATAGCACACAGCAGTAAAAAAGGGACCACTAATGCATGCAACAACACGTATTTCAAAAGAATCATGCTAAGTGAAAGAAAAACTAAAAGCTACATACAGTATGACATAGCACATTCTGAAAAACACAAAATTATAAGGTTGGGAATCAGATGAGCAATTTCTATAGGCTTAGGGTCGGGAAGGACAGTGATTAGTTGGGAGCATGAGAGAACTTTTTGAGGTGATGGAAATGGTTTATATGTTGGTTGTAATGGCGACATGACTGCATGCATTTGTCAGAATTCACGGAACTGTGCACTAAAAATGATACTTTTTTTTGTAAGCATACCCTAATAAACTCATGGGACCCCAGGAGCTAACTTGAAGGGGCTCCCACTGGCCAATTTTGAACAGTTTGAACACCGAAAGCAATGATGAGAGACGTCTAGTTTTCAGTTCTACACATAAGGACACTTGGAAGTCAACCGTTCTGTCCTAACAAGTTAAAAGCTAAATAAAACTTTTGGTTATTTTCCTTCAGGAAGGAAAGAATTAACCGAAAGGAAAATAAACAGCTCTTCGTAGAGCTGAAAGAGCGGTGAGGTCACAGGACAAACCACTGCCCCCAAAATTGGAAACACAGACCAGCAAACACAGAGAATCACAAACTTACCAGAGCCAACACTGCCGAGCAGAAACCTCTGAGGGAACAGGTCTGCGTAGGAAAACCTGGACTGTAATGGACTAATTTGCTAGAGGCTCAGTGAAGAGTCTGAGAGTTAAAAACTCCAAAGAATCCAGTCACGGGGGGCCCCTACTTCGTGAGTTTTCCCTCCAGGAGCCCAACCACACTCGCACGGTAAGTATTAGAGACAACTCTCCTCATACTTCTGGCAGGAGGAAGAAGGGAAAGGAACCATTCTGGAATACACTGGCGCACCCGGCTCTTCACGCCCGCCCACAGGAGAAACTGATCAACCTGAGCCTAACCTGCTGGGGTTTTATCAGAGCTTAACTGACCTGGGGGGAGGAAAACACCTAACTCCAGCCCACGCATAACCATCCTGTTCCACCGAAGCAGGTGTGAAGGGACTGAGGCGCACTTGTGAAGTTCGTAGTCTGGAGGCTTAAGTTCATTAAAAGACCGAGACCCACTCATAGGATTATACAGCGCTTCCCCTGCCCCTCCGCCTTACCACCACATCATCAAGGTCTGTTTACGTCAGTTTCTCTTACCCAGTTCATCATAACTGGCTATCAGGAAAAAATTACAAGGCATACTAAAAGGCGAAAAACACAGTTTGAAGAGACAGTTAAGTATCAGAACCAGATAGGGCAGGGGTGTGGGAATTACCAGACTGAGAATTTAAAACTGATGAACATATCAAGGGTTCTAATGAATAAAGTAGACAGCATGCAAGAACAGATGGTCAATGTAAGCAGAGACCTGGAAATCCTAAGAATGAACTGAAAGAAATGCTAGAGGTATCCTTGTTAGTATAGTGGTTAGTTTTTGTTTTTGTTTTTGTTTTTTTAACTGCTAGAGGAAAAAAACACTAACACGTGAAGAAAGCCTCTGATGGGCTTATTAGTAGACTGCACACAGCTGAAGAAAGAATCTCTGAGCTTGAGGAACCTCAGCAGAAATCTTTAAAACTGAAAAGAAGAAAGAAAAAGACTGGCTGGGCACCGTGGCTCACGCCTGTATCCCAGCACTTTGGGAGGCCAAGGTGGAAGAATCGCCTGAGCCCGGGAGTTCCAGACCAGCCTGGGCAACAAAGTAAGAGCCCCTGCCCCCGTCCCTGGATCTCTACTAAAAACAAAAAAAGAAAGAAAGAAAGAAAATAGACTTAAAAAAAAAAAAAGCACAACAATATCCAAGGACTGTGGGACAACTACGAAGATGTAACATCTGTATAATGGAAATACCAAAAGGAAAAGAAAGAGAAAAGAACAGAAAAAATATTTGAAACAGTAATGACTGAGAATTTTCCCAGATTAATGCCATACACCAAACCACAGATTCAGGAAGCTCAGAGAACACCAAGAAAGATAAATACCAGAAAAATGACACCTAGGCATTTCATTTTCAAACTGCAGAATATCAAAGATAAGGAAAAGAATCCCAAAAGAAGCCAGATTGGGGGCAGAAAGCACACCTATAGAGGAGCAGACATAAGAATTACATCTAACTTCTCAGAAACCATGCAAACAAGAAGAAAGTGGAATAAAATACTGAAAGTGTTAAAAGGGAGGAAAACCACCAACCTAGAATTCTGTACCCTGTAACATTAACCTTCAAACGTGAAGGGAAATAAAGACGTCATTGGACAAAGAAACATTAAGGGAATTTTTTGCCAGTAGACCTGCCTTGCAAGAAATGTTAAAAGAGGCTGGGCACGGTGGCTCATGCCTGTAATCACAGCTACTCTGGGAAGCCAAGGCGGGTGGATCACTTGAGGTAGGGAGTTCAAAACCACCTGGCAACATGGTGAAACCCTGTCTCTACCAAAAATACAAAATTAGCCTGGCATGGTGGTGTACGTCTGTAATCTCAGCTACTCGGGAGTCTGAGGCAGGAGAATCGCTTGAACCCGTGAGGCAGAGGTTGCAGTGAGCCGAGATCATGCCACTGCCTTCCAGGCTGGGCAACAGAGTAAGACTCCATCTCAAAAAAAAAAAAAAAATGTTAAAAGAAGTCCTTTACAGAGAAGGAAAATGATATAGGTCAAACACTTGGATCGACATAAAGAAAGAGCACTGAAGAAGGAATAAGTGAGGGTAAAATTATAACTTTTTTCTTATTATTAATTGATCTAACATAACAGTTTATTCAAAACAATAATAGAGACAATATATTCAATTATGTATCTTATGTATATATCATATATATTCTTGTGTATCTTTATATATAAGTGAAATGAATGACAGCAGTGATACAAGGAAAGCAGTATGGTGTTATTTGAAAGTGGACATGGATTAGTCGTAAATGTATCTTGCAAACTCTTTTTTTTTGAGACGGAGTCTCGCTCTGTCGCCCAGGCTGGAGTGCAGTGGCCGGATCTCAGCTCACTGCAAGCTCCGCCTCCCAGGTTCACGCCATTCTCCTGCCTCAGCCTCCCGAGTAGCTGGGACTACAGGCGCCCGCCACCTCGCCCAGCTAGTTTTTTTGTATTTTTTAGTAGAGATGGGGTTTCACCGTGTTAGCCAGGATGGTCTCGATCTCCTGACCTCGTGATCCACCTGTCTCGGCCTCCCAAAGTGCTGGGATTACAGGCTTGAGCCACCGCGCCCGGCCGTATATTGCAAACTCTAAGGCAACCACTAAAAAATGTTTTAAAAAGTATAGCTTATATGGTAATAAAGGAGAGAAAATGGAGTCATATAAGATGCTCAATTAAAACCACAAAAAGCAGGAAAAGAGTGGTAGATAAAAACAGGAACACAAAGAACAAGGGCAACAAATAGAAGGCAGTAACAAGTACAACAGATATTTAACCCAACAGCATCAACGATCACTTTGAATGTCAGTGGTCTATATACATTAATTAAAACACAGATTGTCACAGTGAATCAAAAACAAAATTCAACTATATACTGTGTACAAGAAACATACTTGAAATATAAAGACACATAGAGACTAAAGTAAACAGATGGAGGAAAACAAACCATCCTACCACTAAGAAAGTGGGAGTAGCTATATTAACTTCAGACAGAGCAGTCTTCAAAACAAAAAAAGTGATTGAGGATAAAAAGGGCCATATATAATGATAAAGGGATCCATTTTTCAAGAAGACATAGAAATTCTTAACATACATGCACTTAACAACAAAGGGTCAAAATACATGAGGAAAAACTGGCTGGGCACCGTGGCTCATGTCTGTAATCCCAGCACGTTGGGAGGCCGAGGTGGGCAGGCCACTTGAGGTCAGGAGTTTGAGCCCAGCCTGGCCAACATGGCTAACCCCTGTCTCTACTAAAAATACAAAAACTAGGCAGATGTGGTGGCACGCACCTGTAATCCCAGCTACTCGGGAGGCTGGGACATGAGAATTGCTTAAACCCAGGAGGCAGAGTTTGCAGTGAGCCGAGACTGCACCACTGCACTCCAGCCTGGGCAACAGGGCGAAACTCTGTCTCACACACACACACACACACACGCGCACACACACACACACACAAAGGAAAAACTGATAGAACTGCAAGGAGAAATAGATAAATCCACTTTTATTGTTGGAGATATTAACACACCTCTGTCAGAAATGGACAGATCCAGGCCGGGCGCGGTGGCTCATGCCTGTAATCCCAGCACTTTGGGAGGCCAAGGCGGGCGGATCACAAGGTCAGGAGATCGAGACCATCCTAGCTACGCGGGGAATCCCTGTCTCTACTAAAAATACAAAAGATTAGCCGGGCGAGGTGGCGGGAACCTTTGTTCCAGCTACTCGGGAGGCTGAGGCAGGAGAATGGTGTGAACCCGGGAGGCGGAGCTTGCAGTGAGCCGAGACCGTGTCACTGCACTCCAGCCTGGGTGACAGAGCAAGACTCTGTCTCAAACAAAAATTTTTAAATAAAAAAAATCACAATACCATTCACATTAGCACCCTCAAAAATGAAATACTTAGTTATAAAATTAACAAAATATGTACAAGACCTATAGAAGGAAAACTAGAAAATTCTCATGAAAGAAATCCGAGAAGAACCTAAATAAACAGAGATATATTCTATATTCATGGATAAGAAGCTTCAATATTGTCAAGATGTCAGTTCTTCCCAATTTGATCTGTAAATACAATGTAATCCCAATCAAAATCCCAATAACTTATTTTGTGGATATTGACAAAATGATTCTAAAGTTTATGGGATGAGGTAAAAGATCCAGAGTAGCCAAAACTATACTGAAGGAAAACATAATTGGACTGACATTACCAAACTTCAAAACTTATTTTAAAACCAGAATAATCAAGACAGTGTGGTATTGCTGAAAAAAAAAATTAGAAAAAGAATGGTATAGACAAGAGAGCTGAGAAATGGACCCACAAAGATATGATCAACTGATCATTGACAAAGGAACAAAGGTAATACAATGGAGAAAAGATAACCTTTTTCAACAAATGGTGCTGGGACAACTGGATGTCTACATGAAAAAAAAAAAAAAAGAAGAAGAATACACACACAAATCTTACACCCTTCACAAAAATTAACTCAAAATGGATCACAGACCAAAACGTAAAACAGAAAGCTACAAAACTCCTGGAAGATAACACTGGAGAAGATCTAGATAATCTTGTGTTTGGCAATGACTTTTTAGCTACAACACCAAAGGCCTCCTTTACAAAAGAATTGATAAGCTGGACTCCATTAAAGTCAAAATTTTCTGCTCTACAAAACTGTCAAGACAATAAAAAACAAGCCATGGACTAAAAAAAACAAAACAACAACAACAAAAAAAAAAACAAAAAACCACATCTGGTAAAGAACTGCTATTGAAAATATACAAGAAATTTGGCTAGGCACAGTGGCTCATGCCTATAATCCAAGCACTTTGGGAGACTGAGGTGGGCAGATCATTCAGATCACCTGAGCTCAGGAGTTCGAGACCTGCCTGAGCAACATGGTGAAAACCTGTCTCTACCAAAAAAAGTAAGAATTAGCCAGACATGCTGGCAGGTGCCTGTAGTCCCAGCTACTCTGGAGGCTGAGGCAGGAGAATGGCTTGAACCAGAGAAGTGGAGACTGCAAGAACTGAGATTGCACCACTGCACTCCAGTCTGTGTGACAAAGCAAGAGACTGAAAAAAAGAAGGGAGGGGAGGGGAGGGGAGGGGAGGGGAGGGAAGGGAAGGGAAGGGAAGGGAAGGGAAGGGAAGGGAAGGGAAGGGAAGGGAAGGGAAGGGAAGGGAAATCTTAAAACTCAACAATTAGAAAACCAACAAGTTGGCCAGGCGCAGTGGCTCACACCTGTAATCCCAGAACTCTGGGAGACCGAGGCAGGCGGATCATGAGGTCAAGAGATTAGACCATCCTGGCCAACATGGTGAAACCCCATGTCTACTAAAAATACAAAAAAAAATTAGTTGTGCATGGTGGCATGCACCTGTAGTCCCAGCTACTAGGGAGGCCGAGGCAGGAGAATAGCTTGAACTCGGGAGGTGGAGGTTGCAGTGAGCCGAGATCACATCACTGCACTCCAGCTGGCAACAGAGTGAGACTCCATCTCAAAAAGAAGAAAGAAAGAAGGAAGGAAGGGAAGGAAGGGAAGGAAGGGAAGGAAGGGAAGGGAGGGAAGGGAGGAAAGAAAGAAAGAAAGAAAGAAAGAAAGAAAGAAAGAAAGAGAGAGAGAGAGAGAGAGAGAGAGAAAGAAAGAAAGAAAGAAAGAAAGAAAGAAAGAAAGAAAGAAAGAAAGAAAGAAAGAAAGAAAGAAAGAAAGAAAGAAAGAAAGAAAAGAGAGAAAGAAAACCAAAACCAACAACCCAATTTTTAAAATACACCAAAGACCTTGACAGACCATCACTGAAGTATCTTACCAGGGACTGGCGGGGCAGGAATGTGGAGTTACTAAAGGTTACAGAGTTTCTGTTTGGGTGATGAAGAAGTTTTAGAAACAGTGATGATTGTTGCACAACATTGTGAATAATGAATGCCAATGAATTGTATGATTAGAATTGCTAAAATGGCAAAGTTTTATGTTATGCTGTATGTATTTTATCACAATTTAAAAACAATAATGTAATATACCAAATATCATTGAACTGTATACTCTAAATGGGCCAATTATTGGCGTGTGAATTACATCTCTAGAAAGCTGTTCGAAAATACGTGCCCACAAAATGTAAAAATCCATACCTTTTAAGGTGAAAAATAATTATTTTGGGTGCTTTGGAAATACCAGCCCTCACGGCAGTTTCTTGCTTGGTTTCACAAAAGGAGCAGTGAATTTGGTTGTTCCAGGTCAGTGTGTCTTGTTGAAAAAAACACTGGAGACAGTCCTGTTCAGGAAAAAAAGGATTTGGTGACCAAATTGGATCAACTGCGACCTGCACTCTCTGTTTCTATTGGAATTTTGCAAATGCCGAGGAAATGTAATTCTCAGTGCTTTTCTCAAAGTCAACAAGTCCAGAAGATAACAGTCTCACTAGTTGCAGCCAGATACCTGTAAAATCCACCTAGAAGGTGTTTCTTTCTTGTTACTGAGATGGATTTGAGTGCCTACCTCACTTATAATCTATAAATCAGTTTTTTGGGTTTTTTGTTTTCTTTTTTTTTGAGATGGAGTCTCGCTCTGTTGCACAGGCTGGAGTGGCATCGACTCACTGCAACCTCCACCTCACAGTTCAAGTGATTCTCCTGCCTCAGCTTCCTAAGGAGCTGGGACTACAGGCGCGCACCACCAAGCCCAGCTAATCTTTGTATTTTTAGTAGAAAGGGGGTGATCTGCCTACCTCGGCCTCCCAAAGTGCTGGGATTACAGGCGTGAGCCACCACACCCAGCCTATAAATCAGCATTTTAACTTTTCTGTTTTTTCCTGAATAATAGTGATTTTGCAATTTTTATTTATTTATTTGTTATTTTATTTATTTATTTTTTCGAGAGGGAGTCTCGCTCTGTCACCAGGCTGGAGTGCAGTGGCACGATCTTGGCTCACTGCAACCTCCGCCTCCTGGGTTCAAGCGATTCTCCTGCCTCAGCCTCCAAGTAGCCAGGACTACAGGCGCATGCCACCATGCCCAGCTAATTTCTGTATTTTTAGTAGAGATGGGGTTTCACCATGTTGGCCAAGATGGTCTCGATCTCTTGACCTCGTGATCCGCCTGCCTTGGCCTCTCAAAGTGCTGGGATTACAGGCTTGAGCCTGTAATGGCTCAAGCAACTTTGCAATTTTCACCAGTGAAATCAGGCAGCTGCTTTATGCTATTCATCTCATTGCTAAAATGATCTGGTGACAAAAATGACTTTCAGGGTTTGGGGGTGGCCTATGATAAAGATAGCAGAACAGGGAAAAATTAGACCCCATATCCATAGGAGAGATCCTCAATGTGGCCAGGTCCTTGGTTCTGCAAACCACTAACTGGAAGAAGAAGATGAGCACAGATTTTGTTTGCAGAGGACCCACTGGCACCTTACTTGGGTGTTTGGAATTTCTTTCCAACAATCTTTAGCAGTTTGAGCTGAGAAACAAAGCCCAGTGCTGAATAAGTAATAGGATTCTATTCTCCAATTCTGGTAGGTAAAACTTTTAGCAGTAAAATGTGCTTTCATAATTTAGGAAGAAAAAAATATAAATTTATATAATTCTGCAAGAAAACTTATTGCTGTCCGCCCCTTGTTTGCTCCTTATCGCTGGCTGCCTTCTACTGCCACTCACCCCATGCCCACATCCCCAGTTACAGATTAACTTTTGGCATTGTGGCGAAGAAAATTTGAGAGGTAAACCAAGGCACTAGATTCCATTCTGTCTTTCCAAAACATTTCACAGCTTTAGTCCAAAATATAAGAGCGTGAGACTGAGAGTTTAGAATGTTTTATATCTAGTTCCAAGTCTGGGCCTTACAGACCTCTGGGGTAAGGGAGGGTCACAAATTTTTTCTAGAAATTACAAATTTCTTTTATGCACAAATCTATCTCAATAGACTGAATAAACCCCACTATATTTCCAATTTTACAATCAGGCTATTTCATTGAGTACATTTAAAAATATGATTGAATTCCTAGTAACTTTTGACCAGTATGTCCCTAAAAAAAAAATTCTGTCATCATGGACTTCCTCTTTCATTTATTTATTTATTTATTTATTTACTTATTTGAGACGGAGACTCACTCTGTCGCCCAGGCTAGAGTGCAGTGGTGAGATCTTGGCTCACTACAACCTCCACCTCCCGGCTTCAAGCGATTCTCATGGCTCAGTCTCCCAAGTAGCTGGGATTACAGGTGCCCGCCATCATGCCCAACTAATTTTTGTATTTTTAGTAGAGACAGGGTTTCACCATGTTGGCCAGGCTGGTCTTGAACTCCTGATCTCAGGTGATCCGCCTGCCTCGGCCAAAAGTGCTGGGATTACAGGCATGAGCCACTCGCCCAGCCTATTTCTTTTAAAATTAAAGTTATAAAGCTGCCTCTCATACTAAACAAATGTAGGAAATAGCCCTGAGAAAATCCAGGCTGAGAGTATAGCAAGACAAAGTGTCCAGGAACACCGCATTCCTACCTGAAGGGAGCATTCATATTCGGATGGAATGGGGAGTGAGAGGACAGTGAAGACTTCGTTCTTGTAGGTGCATTTCTCACACTTTAAACACACGATGCTATAATTGAGCTGCCCTTCAAACAGCTGGGTGATGACGGATGTCTCAGTGGTAATCCACTTCCTGCAGCATCTCTGAGCAGAACCTTTCTCGTGTGATCTTCTCCGGGGGTAGTGGTACTGAATCAAGGAGCAAATTTCACCCAGATTAATCACTGGTTATTTAAAAAAGACTGTGGCAACATGGTGAGATCCCATCTCTACAAAGAAAAAAAAAATGAGCTAGGTGTGGTAGCACACATCTATGGTGCCAGCTACTTAGGAGGCTGAGGTTGGAGGATCAGTTGAGCCCAGGAGTTCGAGACTGCAGTGAGCCGTGTTAGCGCTACTGCACTCCAGCCTGGGTGACAGAGTGAGACCATGTTTCAAAAAAAAAAAAGTTTTCAATGACATGACTGCTTTTTTTTCTATCAGAATGATACATTGCTACCAGAAACCACTTAGTTTTGGATTCAGACAATAGAGTAAGATATCCTTGAAAGTATATATATCATGTGTGATTTCTGATAATTCAGATATTTTCCCTTTAGGTGAAACAGAGGAGTGATGACCCCCTAACTCTGGTAAAACATATACCCATGGCCCCATAAGTTACCAGCCTTGGGAGCTAGTTTTTCCTGGGAAGGGGGTAAGTAAGCTAAATTAGCATTAGGTCACTCAAGCAGATCTAAAGGTAAAATATTAAGAAATCCAATCTTTCCTGTCTCCAGTCCCTTCAGGTTAAATTCTGTAGCCTTTTCTCCTTTAACTTCTAGAAAACACTTTTTTAAAAGAGCAAATCTTGGCCAGGCATGGTGGCTCACGTCTGTAATCGTGGTGCTTTGGGAGGCTGAGTCGGGAGGATCACGTGAGACAAGGAGTTTGAGATCAGATTGGGCAACATAGCAAAATCCTGTCTCTACAGGGTTAATTTTTTAAAAAAAAGATAAGAGAGCAAATCTGAAATTCCTAAGGCAGCCTGGCAGAACTAGCCTTGTGGCCTGGTTTGGATCTAGCTCATACTCAGCAACAGCGTTTCTGGGGCACACCCTGAGTTTTCAGTGATTGAAGAGCCTCAGTAGAATATACATTTTGAAGATGCGTTAGCTCCACAGCTGGCTCTAATTTGGGGCTGTGCTCACCATTCCACTTCTGCTTGCTCGTTTCGTCACACTCTGCTGCCAAAGTCTTCCACCCTGACAGTAACTTCATTCCCCTAATTCCTAGTCTGATCTTGGGAAACAGAACGCTGTTTGTTTCAGATTGGCTGTAGAAGAGGACATGAGGGATTTTTACTGCCCATTCGCCTCTTCTCTTTAAAAAGTGCTGCCATGAATACGTTTTTTTTTCTTTCTTTTCATTGTTGGTTTTTTTTTCGTTGTTGTTTTGAGACGGAGTCTCACTCCGTCACCCAGGCTGGAGTGCAGTGGCGAGATCTCAGCTCACTGCAACCTCCACCTTCTGAGTTTAAGCAATTCTCCTACCTCAGTCTCCCGAGTAGCTGGGACTACAGGCGCCCGCCAACATGCCCGGCTAATTTTTGTACTTTTAGTAGAGATGGGGTTTCACCATGTTAGCCAGGATGGTCTCGAACTCCTGACCTCAAGTGATCCACCCGCCTCCGCCTCCCAAAATGCTGGGATTACAGGTGTCAACCACAGCACCCGGCCATGAATTTTTTTTATTACTCTAAATGAAAAACGGAACTGAGGCCTGCCAATGAGAACAATTAAAAGCTATAGTTTGCAATCTCGATGCTAACCATTCCCTGGGTATTAGAGGTGCAGTGAGGTAACATTAGCGGAAGGACATTACATAAAGTCAAGGACACATTTTCAGAGAATGTGGGTCTCAGACCAAGACTAAGGGCAGTGAGTTTTGTAAATAAAGGCAAAACCTCTAGAGTAACTGATGACTTCATGTTTAATGAAACGTATGTCCTAATTCGGTGATGAACTCAGGTTAGGCGTGTTTGGTACGAGGATGAAACTTTGTAGTGCGTAGATCTGTTGCTTAATCTAATATCAAGCTTAATATTTTCATGGATTTGTAGGTCCCAAGAAAATGTAAGCTATAAAATTCTATATTTCTCATGAGGAATATATTTTGCACTTTTTTTTTTTTTTTTTTTTTTTTTTGAGACGGAGTCTTGCTCTGTCACCCAGGCTGGAGTGCAGTGGCCACATCTCAGCTCACTGCAAGCTCCGCCTCCCGGGTTTACGCCATTCTCCTGCCTCAGCCTCCCGAGTAGCTGGGACTACAGGCACCCGCCACCTCGCCCGGCTAGTTTTTTGTATTTTTTAGTAGAGACGGGGTTTCACTGTGTTAGCCAGGATGGTCTCGATCTCCTGACCTCATGATCCACCCGTCTCGGCCTCCCAAAGTGCTGGGATTACAGGCTTGAGCCACCGCGCCCGGCCTTATTTTGCACTTTTAAAAACTAGTCCATGCAGCCTTTATTTCCAAAGAAAAGTAGACTAGTGTTTCCCACGCCTGGCTGACCACTGGAAATGCCAAGTAAGCTTTCCCCAAAGACGTTCTAATTCATTACCCTTGGAGTATGTGCCTTAACATCTGTGCTGTAAAATCTTCCCAGGTGATTCTGATGACAAGTAAGTTTGGTAAATACAGCTACACATTGAAATACTAACTTGGATGTTCTCCATGGGACACCTACCACAGTGCTTGGCACAAAGTAGACAATATTAACTGAACAAGCAAAAGAAGGAAAAATGGAAGTTGCTGATAAAGGTGCAGAACTATCCTATTTCAAGGTCATTAATTCTACTTACCTTTTTTAGAGCTTCATGAAGTTCATTTAGGACATAAATCAAGAATTCCTGAGCATCTTGTTGCGTCTTTTTCGTAAATGCTGGGTAGAGGTTGCCAAGAGCTGACCGGAATATTTCTGGTGAGACACAGTCTGAGTCTCCCAGCCACATGTCTGTCATCAGGTAGGCAAAAGCAGTGGCAACCTCACTGCAATCGCTTGGAAGAAGAAAGGGATATGTTTCTGGCTGATTTAATGAAAAGAAGGCACTTCATCACCCAAGCCTGGGAAATTAGTCTCAAAATGGAAGAGCGTGGTGTCTCATGCCTGTAACCCCAGCACTTTGGGAGGCCAATGCAGGAGGATCGCTTGAGCCCCCAGAAGGTCGAGGCTGCGGTGAGCTGTGATCATACCACTACTTCACCCCAGTCTGGGTGACAGAACAAGACTCTGTCTAAAAGAAAAAAAAAGGAGGCCAGGCTCAGAGGCTCATGCCTGTAATTCCAGCACTTTGCGGGGCCGAGGTGGTGGGTTGGGAGAGGTGGATCACTTGAGGTCAGGAGTTTAAGACCAGCCTGTCCAACATGGTGAAACCCCCTCTCTACTAAAAATACAAAAAAATACAAAAAAAAATAGACAGGCATGGTGGTGCGTGCCTGTAATCCCAGCTACTCAGGAGGCTGAGGCAGGAGAGTCACTTGAACCTGAGGAGCAGAGGTGGCAGGGAGCCAAGATCGTTCCACTGCACTCCAGCCTGGGCAACAGAACGAGACCCTGTCTCAACAACAACAAAAATTTAAAAAATAAAAATAAAAATAAAGGAGCTGCATTCATTTCTTGGTTGCCCTTCCCACTTTTACTTACTCTCGCATGTTATCTGGGAAGCTACAACCTCTACTGACTTGTTTGTTTGATCCCTTAATAGGGATTCCAGAGTTCCTTCTCTAACCTCACCTGTGGGGAAGTGGGGGTGGGAGCTGGGCTGCAGGGAATGCAAATGGGCTTACTTTTGAAGAGCAGTGATATACTTCCCGGAGAGGAAGTATTCCACCAGCGGCGAGATGCTGCAGAGACACTGTAAGATGGCATTCATGTAGCATGTGTTGCCCAAGTTCCGCAAGCCAGTGACGCCCTGAGAACAGGGCTGGCTCCCATCAGCCTCCTTAACTGGAAGGGTATCATAGTAATCTGTGCACTCTGCACTGTGTTGGTGCCACATGGAAAGAAAGGGTTTTGAGAGAACAAAATAAGTACAAATGACAATAAGCCTCTCAATATTGTGAAATAAAGAAGAGTTCTTAATAAGACTTCCTCCAAATGCATTCCCCACCAAGGACAGGAAGTATGGGAACTTGGAGTCTAAAATTACAGCATGGCAGAGCATAGTGGCTCACACCCGTAATCCCAGCCCTTTGGGAGGCCGAGGTGGGAGGACTGCCTGAGGCCAGGAGTTTGAGACCAGCCAGGGTAACATAGTGAGATCTTGTCTCTATTACATAAATTAAATTAAATTAAATTAAAAACAAAATTACATTACTTAGAACAGAACTGTGAACAAGTGCCTGAAGCCAAATAAGACAGATAGAAATTTCTTTCTAAAACCAAAGCAAGACAACCGACAACTTGCTGGACAAGTAATTAAATTATTATTATTATTATTAAAAGTTAATAAAACAATAGCTATCAGGTAGTGAGCCTGGCACTATTTAAGTACTTAACATGCATTTTCCCATTAAATCTCTCAACAATTGTGTAAGGCAGGAACAATTATTTTTACATCCCATTTTACAGATGAGATGTCAGGTTTGAAGTGATTTAGTCATTTACTCGCGGGGTGTGTGGTGGTATGTAGAGAAAAGGAATACCTGCCTATCATCTGTTTGCCTCCCTCCCTCTCTCCCAATATATCTATCCATTAAGATATTTGGATTTATATATATTAAGATTGCCTATATATGTGATTTATATATGTGTGTATTTGTGTATATATGTATATATAGCATATATATTGAAAGCATAACATATACACATATTAAGAGCATGCATATAGATATCTTAAGAGCACACATATATACATATAAATACACACACACATATATACATGGAAAGGAGAAAGCGCACAGACTTTGTAAAAAATGGATCTTAGTTTAAATCCCAACTATGCCATTTACTAGTTATAGGATCTGGGATTCTATGTCTGTTTCTTGTCTATAAAATATGAATAATGTCATCTGCCTTATAGGATGGTTGTGAGGATTATGAAGGTATCATGCAAGGTACTTGACACAGGTTCATCAATAAATGACAACTTAAAAAAGTTTTTTAAGTGACTGGTCTAGGATGTCCTTCCCAGTAAGCTACAGGATTAGAGTGTTCATGTGAATTGGCCAGACCTGCCTGCACGGAGAGAACACTGAGGGTTCCGAAGGGCACCTCCTCTCCCTGCACAGAGCTTCCTCTTGTAATTTTTTTTTTTTTTTTTTTTTTTTTTGAGATGGAGTCTTGCTCTGTCACCCAGGCTGGAGTGCAGTGGCTGGATCTCAGCTTACTGCAAGCTCCGCCTCCCGGGTTCACGCCATTCTCCTGCCTCAGCCTCCCGAGTAGCTGGGACTACAGGCGCCCGCCACCTCGCCTGGCTAGGTTTTTGTATTTTTTAGTAGAGACGGGGTTTCACCGTGTTAGCCAGGATGGTCTCGATCTCGTGGCCTCGTGATCCACCCGTCTTTGCCTCCCAAAGTGCTGGGATTACAGGCTTGAGCCACCGCACCCAGCCCCTCTTGTAATTTTTTATATCGTGCCAGGCAACCTGGTATCTATGTCCTCTGGGATTTTTCTTTCCATATATTGTATTTAAAGTTGGCCTCCATGAGACAGTGACCTCACATGCTTTTAAGCACAGTTATGCCAGTTTGAAAAGTGTTCACTGTTATAAGAATGGTCATTTTCACTTTTACTCACTGATATCACAGGAGGTCCTAGACTGTCACCCTTTAGGAAGAACATGTATTTATTGCCAAGATATTAGGCACAATCTTCCTTCCTTTCGGGGGACCTCCCATGGGTCACACCTGGGAGAACCCTCCTGAATGTAGCATGTATCCCCTGACTCCTCTGAGCTGGGCTTATCTAGAAAGCTGTAGTAGATCAAGGCTCACAGGACATAGTAGATACCGAAGTCATCTGCAGGGAGAGATCGCTGAGAAGTCATTTTAATGGAACCACGTTGGAATTTTGCTTCTATTCAGCAGCTACAACTATTCCTTTCAACTTCATTTCTCTGAGCCTGTTAACACTGGCTTTTTGTTTTAAACAACTGATATGCTCCTCTCTCTTCCAGTAGCTGCAAACTGATTTTCACCTGTATCAGGCACCACTCCAACTTGGATTTTCTATACATCATAATCCTTTCCATTCACCTTCAAGATTCTAGCATGTTGCCATGAGACACTGTTACTTGGTTGTCTGAAATGTTTTAAAAAGATTAGGCTTCAGAGAATGAATTACACATATAACCTCCCTTCCTCCATCACTCAGTTTCTCTTGCGTGTGTATATATTATACACACACACACACACACACACACTTACATGTGCACAAAAGATTTACCACCACTGAGTTAGTGGACACTACAGCAACCCTGCCTGCTTTGGGCACTCATTCCCCCTTACCAGCGACTACACCACACCTAGGAGCCCTGAGGGATTTCCTCACCCTGGGGAGGGAGGACTTTCACTTCTATTCAGGAGCTACATCTATCCGGACTGAATCCCGGATCAGAAAAAAAAAAAAAAAAAAAAAAAAAAAAAAAAAAAAATTGCCATAAAAGAACATTATGGGAACAATTGATGAAATTTGAATATGGATAATATGCAGATGGTTTTTTCTATTAATGTTGAATCTTCTGAATTTGATAAAATTGTACTGTGTTTATGCAAGGGGATGCCCTTGTTCTTAGAAAATACACACTGAAGTTTTTTGGGGGACAGGGGCATGATATATGCAACCTGTTTTCAAATGGTTCAGGAAGAAACAGGAACCCGAGGACGGGAAGGAAGGGGAGTGATAAAGCACATACTATAAAGCCACATGCCAGCAGTTGGTGAATCCAAGTGAAGGCCCACTAACGAGCATTATTCTTGCAACTCTTCTGCAAGTTTAAAAAATTAAAAATAGGCCGGGCGCAGTGGCTCACGCCTGTAATCCCAGCACTTTGGGAGGCTGAGGCGGGCGGATCACGAGGTCAGGAGATCAAGACCATCCTGGCTAACACGGTGAAACCCCGTCTCCACTAAAAAATACAAAAAATTAGCCGGGCGAGGTGGCGGGCGCATGTAGTCCCAGCTACTCCGGAGGCTGAGGCAGGAGAATGGCGTGAACCCAGGAGGCGGAGCTTGCAGTGAGTCGAGATCGCGCCACTGCACTCCAGCCTGGGAGACAGAGCGAGACTCCGTCTCAAAAAAATAAATAAATAAATAAATAAATAAATAAATAAATAAATAAAAATAAAGAATACAGTAGACATATTTTTTGCTAAAATGGATTTCTCTCCAGATACATGACTGGTAAGTCAAAAAAAGCAAGGTATTGAAGAATCCATAGTATGCGCCCCAACTTATGTCCAAATGGTTAAAAAAACCTACATATGTTCTCAGGCTACACAAAGATATTAAGAATATTCATTCTTTGACACCTGGATAAGGAATCCTGGCAAGCAGAGGTGTCTTGTCTTGTAGGTATTTGATATTTGTGATGTATTTACAGAGGTATCTCTCGAAGTCACCTCAGTGGTGGTTCTGCAGGACTTAAATCCTGTAAACTTGCTCTGTTTGTCAGTGAGGCTCTCCCAAGTCCTTCACTTTCTCCTAATCAATAGGGTCTTTTAAAAGTTTCATTTTGTGTTTGATGCTGGTAGGTAAAAATAGAATTATTTGTCATATGTTGGTTGTCTATCTAGGAACCTTTCTAACCTGACTTACTCTTTAATTTTTTAATTTTTATTTAAATAGTGACAGGGTCTCGCTATGTTGCCCAGGCTGGTCTCAAACTCATGGGCTCAAGCAATCCTCCCACCTCACTCTCCCAAAGTGCTAAGATTACACATGTGAGCCACTACGTATGGCCTAACTTGATTTACTTAAGTCTACTTTTTACATAGGTTCTTTGGATTTTCTATAAACACATTCAAGTTGTCTGCAACAAAATCAGTTTAATTTTTTTCCTAAGTCTTACTTCTTACCTTCTTTACTAGTGAGGATTGCCAGTAAAATAGTGAAAAAAGTGAATATAGTAAACTAGTGAATAGAAGTGGAGATAGCTAATTCCTTAACTCAGAGAGAAAGCTTTGGATAATTCACCATTAAGCATGATGTTTGCAGTCATAGTTTTGAAGAGTTGTAATCATGAATGGATAGATTCATGATTGTGACCAGATTTCTCTGTATTTATTGAGGTAATCATGAGATTTTCTTCCTTATTCTGTTATTGTTGTTCATTATCAATGATGGTCACATATTAAACTAATCTTCTATTCCTCAGGTATATTTTGTTTGTGATGCAGTTATTTTCATGAATTGTTGGGTTCTAGTTGTTAATCTTTTTGTTCAAGGGTTTTGTATCTATGTTCATGAATTAGATTATCTGTGTTAATGTTCTGTGCTATATAACAAACTACTAAACTTAGTTTAAAACCAGACATGGGGCTGGGTGTAGTGGCTCATGCCTGTAATCCCAGCACTTGGGGAGGCCAAGGTAGGAGGATCGCTTGAGTCCAGGAATTCAAGACCACTTTGGGCAACACAGTGAGAATATCCCTCACCCCCACCCCATTCCCCCTCCACCCCACTCCCCACCCTCCCTCTACCAATAAAAATAATAATAATTAGCTGGGCATGGTGGCATATGACTGTAGTTCCAGCTACTCAGGAGGCCAAGATGGAAGGATCACTTGAGCCCAGGAGGTCAAGTTTGCAGCGAGCTGTGATTGTGCCATTGTGCTCCAGCCTGGGTGACAGAGTGAGACCCTGTCTCAAAAAGAACCCCAAAAGCCAGGAGTGGTGGCTCATACTTGCAATCCCAGCACTGTGGGAGGCTGAGACGGACAGATCACTTGAGGCCAGGAGTTAGAGACCCGCGTGGCCAACATGGCGAAACCCTGTCTCTACTGAAAATACAAAAAGAATAGCTGGGCATGGTGGGGCAGGCCTGTAATCCCAGCTACTCTGGAGGCTGAGGCACGAGAATCCCTTGAACCCCGGAGGCGGAAATCGCAGTGAGTCAAGATCACGCCACTGCCCTCTAGCTTTGAGACAGAACAAGACTCTGTCTCAAAACAAAACAAAACAAAACAAAAAACACAAAAAGGAAAACCAGATATGGTTTAGCTGAGATCTCATATTGCATTTAGTTGTCATTGTCTCTTTTAGGCTCCTTCAACCTGAAACGGTTCTATGTATTTCCTTGATTTTAATGAACTTGACTTTTGAAGATGACTGACCAATTATTGTGAAGAATATCCCTTAATTTCTATTCAGAAGCTACATCTATCCGGACTGAATCCTGGATCAGAAAAAAACAAAATCGCCATAAAAGAACATTATGGGAACAATGTTGTCTGATGTTTCCTCATGATTAGATTCACATTATGCATTTTTATGAAGAATATCACTGAAGTGAAGCTGTGTTCATATTGCATTTGTATCAAATGTTATACAATTTTGATTTGTCCCAGCACTGGTTATGTGAACTGTGATTAACTGTGATAACTTGAATGAAGTGGGGTCTCCCAGGTTTCTCCAATGTAGTTTTTCCTTTTGTAATCATCAGGAAGCATTTTGCAGGGAGGACTTTGAAACTGTGTAAATGCTGTTCCTCATCAAACTTTCATACACTAGTTTTAGCAATTGATGTTTCTTGGCCGGATTAATTTTTGCTATGGTGATTGCCAAGTGGTGATTTTCTAATATCATTATTCTGACTCATTCATCTGTTGGTACTCTACTATAAAGAGAAGTTTCTCTTTTTTTTCTTTTGAGACAGGGTCTCACTGTCCCCCAGGCTGGAGTGCAGTGGCACAATCTCAGCTCCCTGCAACCTCCACTTCCTAGGCTTAAGCGATTCTCCAGCTTCAGCCTCTTGTGTAGCTGGGACTACAGGCGCGTGTCACCAATGCCTGGATAATTTTTGTATTTTTTGTAGAGACAGGGTTTCGCCATGTTGCCCATACTGGTCTTGAACTCCTGAGCTCGAAGCGATCCACCTTGGCCTCCCACAGTGTTGGGATTACAGGCGTGAGCCACCGCACCTGGCTATGTCTCTGTTTATTCTTTTATTTTAATCAGCATGGACTCACAAATTACTGTTTTGTTCAATGGATTACATCTGATATTTTATTTATTTATTTTTAAATTACACTCTAAGTTCTGGGATACAGGTACAGAACGTGCAGGTTACATAGGTATACATATGCCATGGTGATTTGCTGCACCCATCAACCTGTCATCTACTTTAGCTATTTCTCCTAATGCTATCCTTCCTCTAGCCACCCACTCCCTGACAGGCCTTGGTGTGTGATGTTCCCCTCCCTGTGTCCACGTGTTCTCATTACTCAACTCCTGCTTATGAGAACATGTGGTGTTTGGTTTTTTGTTCTTGTGTTAGTTTGCTGAGAATGATGGTTTCCAGCTTCATCCACGTCCCTGCAAAGGACATGAACTCATCCTTTTTTATGGGTGCACATCTGATATTTTTCTTCCTTTCTTTTTTTTTTTTTGAGACAGGGTGTCGCTCTGTTGCTCACTGGAGTGCAGTGGCGTGATCTTGGCTCACTGCAGCCTCAACTTCTTGGGCTCAAGCAATCCTTCTGCCTCAGCCTCCTGAGTAGCTGGGACTACATCACATGCCACTATACCCAGCTATTTTTATGTTGCCCAGGCTGGTCTTGAGCTCTTGGTCTCAAGCTCAACCACTTTGCCCTCTTAAAGTACTGGGATTACAGGTGTGAGCCACTGCGCCTGGCCATGACTTTTTTTAGATGTTCAAATTGTCTCAAGATGAGCCTGCAGGAAGCCCTTCAAGGTGTCTTCTGTATCCATTTGACATGTCCTCATTGTTCTTCGAGCACTTCCTTTTTTTGGCACAGCAAGATCTTCCGGAGTACCATTCCTGCCCCAATCCTGAAGTCAGGTGTTTCTCCGAGCCCTGGTTCCTTTCAGTGAAGAATGGTATTTAGAAACCAAGATCTGGGAGCTGGGTATAGTCATGTTATTACAGCGTTGCTGCTTCCAGGTCCTCATGCATACATACATCCACATCCATAGGTATATCTCTCCACACTTTTTTTTTTCAGTATTACTACCATACTGAATATATCTTGATATTTTGGGAACCACAAAT